ATATATATATATATATATATATATATATATATATATATGATGACCTAGAAACACAATAAAAGACAAAAAATACCACAAATTTCTGTCTGTTTTTTAGCATGTTTTGGGCATTAGTGAGAAATTAATGATTTGAAGAAATAAAACACAAATTAATAACAGGCTGTGAGAGATTTTAATTTATTTGGCCATCAAAAGAGAGTGATATTTTGTCTAGTAGCTTAGGATGTTAAAAATGTCACAATCTCATATAATATTCGTTTTTCCTCTATGGTTTGCAATTAATTAAAGACTTGATAAATTAGCAAATATATGATGTTAATTAATCTCAAATTATGGCATGAATTGATTTGATTATTTGTTTTTGATGGTGACTTTTTTGTCATTAAGCAATAATATAAGTTAATAGTATATTGTTAAGTATATGTATTTAATTAGAATAAATGAACGGCTGTGCTTTAGTGACTAGTCTTTATGAGAGATACCAATCAACTACCAACAGTGGTGGGGGAGGAAAGATAATGATATACACAATCGATGAGTAAATAAATATGTTATTTCGATAGCATGTTTAGACCTTTTAAACGAAATGTTCACTCAGTTCAACATGATATTAGACAATGAGAGAAGTAGTCCTTACTATATCAACATCTTTATCCCAAGAAAAAGAATCATGCACATATGTTAAAAGGAATGTGTTACATCATAGAGCTACGATCTTCAGGTAATCGATCAGATTAGAAAGATATCCCTTTCAAAAATATTCCCGACTTTTACTATTCCTCTCGCAGAAATGCAGAATAAGACTATGTATCCAACGTGTAGCGAAAACTTAGTGCACTAGAGACTCTTATAGTCTTAGCCCTTATAGAACCCCGTGTTTAATGGAAGCTTAGTGCACCGAAACTATTCTTCACAGATATACAAATCTTACTAAGTTGCATAACTTCTAATGCTATACCAATCTTTGAAACATTTGATCAAAAGAGAGATTTCTGTATTAAAACATTGGCAGAAACACTGCAACTTAACATTTTACTCAAAGTGAGTATTAGCTTTAATAGCACAGCATTGATGGTATTTCAAGAACTTGACTTAAAGAGGTTCATAATTATTAACTATCCCAACTAGGAATAATTACATACAGCATATCTAGCAGAAATGCTAACCTAGATATGCTAACCTACACACTAAGTATATCGTCTCGGATACAAGATCCATCGCCTTTTCTATGTTGAGAATATGAGAGAATTCACACAGTACAATCTGACTAAGCAAATTCATGATGTTACCTTCATACTTGATCCAACGAGTATTAAATGACGTAGAAGCTGATGCATCTAGGAAGCAACACCAACAGCTAAACGTCCCACTCTTGTACTACGGCTCAAATCGATACTTCTAATATCTTTTCTCATTGCATTGTTTCCTATTGATCTTCGCGCAACCACCTTTGTTTTCTCTTCAGCTTTGAAGCCCTTGTTTCCCTTGATTGTATCTGCTGTTCTCGGTCTCGGAGAATTCAGTACCTGCTTTTTCTCTTGCTCTCTCTTTGGAGCTACTGTTCTATTTGATCGCGTCTGCCAGGACGTTTTGTTTGTTCGAACTGAAGATGGGACGCTGCTGTCAGATAACTCTGCTGAAGGATGATTGGTTACTTCTGAAACCTGTGGTGAATCAGCCATGATTAGATGTTCACTAGTGGAACAAGGAACAGTGTTCTCTGTTACAGTAGTAACTCTAGCCCCTGAAGTCGAAGGTCTGCTTTGTGATTTACTTGATTTAGTTTTACTTGCTAACTCCTGAAAAATTAATCAACGAAGCAAGTTATACGATTTGTTCTATCAATTATTAGAAGGACAAGGATGAATACTAACAGATGGACAAGTGCAGACACTCGTAAACAAAGAGAGTGACAGATAACTAGTAAGACATTTTTCACATGTTACTTGCATCCATATGAAAGTGTAATATTCATAACACATTTAACTTTCGGTCTTGAGAGAATGCTAAAAAGTGAAAAGTTTCCAACCATGCCATTCTGTAAATTAATGGCTGGCGCACTAAAAAGCCGCTCTAAGAGAAGCAAGAAAGTATGCTGCTTATCACGGGCCCTAAAGGCATTCAGTAATCAGAAGCCAAGGTTACAAGATCTCTATTCCATCCTTTAGTGTCAATATTTCCCTTGAATCTTGATCAAGGGCTTACACTATAACCAGTAAAACAGCTTGTAAACATATTTTCTTAGTATTACTTTCTAATGAGAATGATATGCTAAACAGTGTGGTTTTGTAAGCATCCTAGTTTTCAATATAAGAAAACAGAAAACAAGAGAAAAATACAGTTGAGAAACAGAAAGCTGAGTATTGGGAACATTCTCATTATCTGTCACTTGTTAATACCTTGTTTCCGTCTGACCGACGACCAGGTTCATGGTAGAAGGCAGGCATGGGAGTTGCTTTGAAATTGAGATTTCTCCGTAGCTGTTTTAACTCTGCTTCTTTCTTTACCTATAGGTATCATAAAGAAAATCAAAATGTCATTAATCATGGTTACCGATCAACAAAAAACTTCATCAAACTCATAGTTGCAAATGATATATATTACAAGTCTAAACAGATGGAAGCAAATAAAAGAAAATATAACAGAATATATCCCAATGACATTTTAGAGCTAGCATCGACAGAAAGCCGCCTAATGATTCTCTAAATCAATCTAAAACCTGTTTCCAACAGTCACAAGAATCATTGCCCGACTTTATTACCTGAGTTCTTGCTTGGAGCTGATGTTTTTCTGCCTCTACTGCATGCATTTTCTCCTCTAACTTCATAAGGAACTGAAATCAATATCA